TTTATATTCAGGAAAATTTAAAATTCTCCTATAGGAGAAATTAAAATTTTAATCTCACCTAGGAGAAACTAAAATTTCAAGTTTTCCTTGAAAAACTCCAGTAAAAATTGAAATTTTAAGTTCACCTAGGAGAAATTAAAATTTTAAGTTTTCCTAGGAGAATTTTAAATTTTCCTGAATTTTAGTTCCACCTGCGACATATATATAACTAAATCTAAATCTGTTTTTGCCGTTTATATTCGAAGTCGAATCAGGCAGCTACTCTAAATGATAGGCATTCAATCTTATTTAATTTATTTAAAAAGGATTGTTTAAGAAATAACATTGGAAAAGCTGATTGTAGAAAAATTAAACTAAAAATGAAAATTAGAATTTACTTGAATGTAAATGACAAATGATGAATTTGGAAACAATAAAATTTAAATTTATATGAAAGAAGAAATTTAATGTACGATGTTTAATTTATAATATTTAGTTGTATAAAATTTGAATTTAAAGAAACAAATAACTAATTCTATGATATTTATAAAAATTGCTCTAATGAAAATGAAATGGAGACCAGCGTCAATTACTTTAAATTTAAAAAACATTTCGTTTTAGGAATGAAATTATAATCTTATTTAAAAGTTAACATATAAAATTAGCATGGAACAATTTTATTATGAACGTGGCCATAGATCGCGACTCATATAACAGTCGATTTGATTTAGATAACAGCCGAAATCTTGTGCATCATTTTTCGAACTAGCACATCGATTTTGTTTTATTTGTCTGTTTTTATATAGTCGAAAAAATGTTTTTTTGCTATATTTTGTGTTTTATTGTACTGGAAATGTAATATAATGCAGAGCCCTGATGAGTGTTTAATATTTCAATAAATAACACGAAACGCGTCGGCAAATTAAACTCCGCATTTCTTTAATAATTTTTGATATCAAGCACAATAACTTGTTGTTTTAGCACATTCATTTAACTTTGACAATACAGTCGATTGCTGAAAAGCAAGAGTTGAGAATACCAGATTGACTTTAATCTATTCTTTCAACATAGATAGGTCAATCTGTTTTTTATTTAAAATTTTCTCGAATCCGTAATATAGTTCTACAATCGATATCCAGCACAACATCGAATCAAACTCCTACAAATTCAACCAGAAATGCCACCGTTGACCTCAAATCTCTGGATGAGCTCATTACTATCCAAACAGAAGACCAACACAGACACATTACATCAGAGCTTATTATTCATTCCCAACACGAATCACAGTTTAGACATAAAGCAAAATATATTCGTAACCTGTGGCATTCCACGTTTCTATCAACTAAGCTCATGAATGACCAACTTGCGGTGGGAACGACATTGAATCTGACACTTCAACAGGAATTCAGAATGAAAAATAATGAAAGTCTCTATCATGAGAAAACAGTGAAACAAAAAAAGACGATTAATCAAAAGTCAAAAGCAATACAATCGAAGCAATCGGCCAAACCAACAACCACGTATTCAAAACACACAAACACCATATAATAACACAACATCTGAAGACAAAACCAAAATGACCTTTCATATCCCAAATATCAATATACTGTTTTAAAACAAGGTTTCCTCCTATCGGTATTTACAAAAAATCCATCGCCAGAAAAGAAACGTCAAGCGAAATCTGTCGACGAACTTCATGTTTTTCAGAAGATGTACTAGCCATATCAAGGTACGCACACCCTCAAGGCCTGATCGCCTCAGAGCTTTACTAAATTTCTCTCAAACTTTTCTCTTGTATGCCTGTTAGATAAACTTTCCATACTATCGTGTTCAGAACCTTAGCAATTTTTCAACGTATAATGTTCATTTCCCGTACTCTATACTATTTCCCTACCGTCTCGCTCTTCTCTGAAATTATTTCGTTATTGTCTCTTTTTTCTCTAATCTTGTTTCATTTCAATACACTCTTTGTACTGTTTATATTCGTCATTTTCTTCTGAAATTGCACTTTATCTTATAATACCGGACGAGACCCTTAAGCAAGGTCGAGACCGATATTGGTATGCTTAAAGCACCCTCACCCTCAAGATACTGCATTTGGTTTTTAAAGTAAATATACGATAAGATGTAGCATATGTAGAGCTTTCGAAATGTTTATGGTAGGCTAATAAACGACGTAAGTATAGTGATAAGGATAAAAAGAAATTAAAGATGGGCAGTATACGGCTTTTTGCTATCATTGTATATAAAATTTATTGAATATAGCAGAAGATTTCAAACAATATGAAAGAGCACTTTCATACACGGCTATACTGAGGGATAATCCTTTTGGGTTTTTAAACAACTTTCCATACGACTATTCCTGAAGATTCCAATTTAGTTTTTTTCGATGGTTGTGTATCACAGGTAACATATCTTATTTCTATGGAGTAGTTCTCTATTCAATTGAATCCTTAGGAAGAAGCCTCTCTATAATATCATAAGCGTTTTTTTAAGTTAATTTTTGGGAGAAATGCTATGGCCAAACAGAATGATATATATATATAACAAAAGTGTCTACGAGTGACGGATGTTCCAATTCTATTTCCATAGTAAAATATGGAGATTTTTGTCTTCCTCGGTTAAAAAACTGCAAAGCGCCACAGTAGCAAGAAAAACATGAACTTTTCACATATAATGGTTCGTTCATAAAGTTCTAAAGACTCGATATTTTCAAACAAAAATCTTCACATGGATAGAATTCATGGAGACTTCAAAAAATGACAGCTCAAATTGTCAAGTCGTTCGTGAGATATTATAGCGTTAGTGCGCATTTAATGAACAGGATTTCATTTGTAAAATTTATCAAAATGATGATAAAGATCAAACGAGCTATGTTTTCTGGAACGATTTGTGCTAATATCCTTAGAACGTTTCTCTCTATAATGTAACTTAAATGGAACAAGATTTGACAAAGGAAAAACTCAATTAATAGGGTTACTGCAGGGATGCACCAGTTCCAGTCCCCGACTGGGTGGCTGGGTATTTATTGTTGCCGAGGGTCAAACTAATACGATTGGTTATATGCTTGATCGATTTCTAACAAGTTGTGTCAGATCCAGTCGGACTGGTGCATCCCTAGGCTACTGGCACTTGCTGTGAATTATAGACTTGAAGTTGTATACTAAAGAAAAAATGGTTGTGCAATGACTGGAAAAAATAAGGGTTTATGATTTCGCAACGTATAATAAACCCTATTTTCTGTTTCTGAGACATTTTATATACTCTTTTTACATATGATAAGCGAAAAAACCTTTTATTATCTTCATAGGATACCCACAAAAGGGTTTATTATACGTTCTAAATTTAAAACCCTTTTCTCCGTTTATTAATATCCAGAAAAGTTTTACAGTGATACGCATGCATGTGTGTGTGTGTTTGATTTTTCTTATGCAATGGGAAAGCGATAAAGATATATAAGTACGTATTCACATGGGCTTTTTCTTACTGCATCAAGTGATTTGTTTTCAGAACAAAAGATGTCTTGTGTTAAGTGCTTCTTTTCTTACTATATATTTAGTGAGAATATAGATGTGCTATTATATGGGTTGTATTTTCATCGCAAATGATACTTGCATTGTATAGTAGACTGAAGTTTTTTTTTACTTTCAGAACTGGGTATAATACATCGAATATAGTCAATCGATGGGTCAATATTTATCTAATATTAATTCTTGTATCGTTGATCGAACAAACAAAAATGAACTTGTGCTCAACGCAAATTCGATTGTATCTGGAAACGGTAAAGAGAATATCACTTTATTTTTATCAATGAAACAAGTTGCTGATACGTTAACAGCTAATCAAACTTTGAGTTGTGAAACCTCATTAATAAATCAAATTCAAAATCATCTAGTAGTATTAACTAAAGCAAAAGAGATAAATAACGTCGATACCGAAGTCAACGAAATACTAACGAAGAATGGTCTCATGCTTATTATTGATGATTATCAGAAGTCGCTTGAGCGAGTAAAACTTATTTATAACATACAACAACAACTCCAAAAATCACTAAGAAGAAAGCTCAGTGATCATTATGATATAGCTGTACCTACAGTTACAGATCAAAATGCAACAGTGAATGTTACTACAACATTTATTCAAAATGTTAAGCGATCTCAACAAGTTAATGAATATGAACGATTTTCTTATCTTACTATACACTCATTAGCATCACTACTGCTTCGTTCATTCAAAATTAGTGGGCAAATCGACCATTCTATGTCTTCGCAACTAATAAGTTTTGTGGATCAATTATGTGAGCAACTTCCTATTAAATGTGTTTTGTGTTTTCAATCACCAATGAAAAGACATCATTTAATGCTTCAGTCACTGGAACCATTAATAAATCACATCAGTGAATTATCTTCATCCTCTGACTCGGTGGTAGCAACGCAGGTTACACAAATTTTATTAAAATTATCAATTGCACAAGCATCATTCAAAGATTTTTTAACCATCATAAGTAAATTGATATTCGATACAACTGATGTTTATAATTTAGGTGATTTATTTCTACAACTGAACGATTGGCTTGCAAATGCTCTGAGTCAGTATGAACAGCATAATTATCACGAAGGTGAGAAAATGAATACAAAAGCAAAGAAAGCAACAGGCTAGATATATCTCTTTTGATTGTAAGAGTTGTCTCTATAGATAAAATATGAACCTTTTGTTTAGACAAAGGATCACTAATATCATTGGAATATTTGAAATTAAACGGGATATTTCCTAACGAAAGATTAAGTGAACTTCATGGAGGAATATTTACTGGCGAATTTGTTGCATCAAGTTTACTGGCATATATTGATATTTATAATGAAATAAATTTAAATAAGCAATTTTTCATTGGTGCAATGCGTAGTTCGATTTCGTTTGAGTTTCATCGGAATACGTTTCAACAATTGTTTTCTATTCTCGAACAGTTGACCATGAGAGTATCGGAACAACCAAAGCTAGCTATTATCCATAGTTTACGTATATGTACAAGATTATTCAAAACACATTTACGCTTTCTCCATGCTTTGAAATCCAATATTGATACAAAAATACTAACAAAAGTGAATTGTGACACAAGACAGATGGCCCAAGATAGTTTCGATTTGTCAACATTTGCAAATACAGATGAGTTAACAAAATGGTTTCATTTTTTCTCAGACTTGGTCTGTAGAGATACACAATCTGAGTCGATAACAACACGTAGAGATGCATCGAAAGCCTTGATTTATCTTGTCGATTTAAAAGCTACATTATTTATAGAAAAATTATCATTTATTCATAAACATGTTATGGAAAATAAGTATCATGAGTTAGTCGAAGAACTATTAATAGAACTAAATGAAAGAGTTACACTTATGAACTGGATCGAACTTATCTTTAACGATAACGAAATTAGACCCGAGAAAAATCAAGCATTAGCAATATTATATTCATTCGTTCGCATTTGTTTGAACTCATCGAGTAGTTTGAACCAAGAACAAAAACAAAAACTTATACAAACACTAGCATTACTTCAACAATATTTTCTACTTCGCTTAATACCAGAATCCCAAATGAAAAGACGTCAAACTCGTGGAGCGCACAATAATGAAATCAGTGGATTAGAAACACCTATTGATGTTGCTTCTGCATTGATATTTGCTCATTACATGTCACACATACTTGGAGATTATACCGATAAAGTCGAAGGAGCAAATGACTTCTTCCAACAAATTCTTTTTGGCCTATGTTTAATGACACAAACAAGCATCTTTAATTTTGATATAGTTCAGCCGATATTCACGTCAGTTTTACCATTACTAACAGAACATGCGTTACGGAGTACCATTTATGAATACAACACTGCACACGTTCTATATTGGTTAATTGGAAAAATAAGTAATCTCATGATTGCTGGTATACAACAAAATTCATTAGAAATAAAACATCTCAACACATTGAAATTATCTCTGTTTGGTGGTGGATGTGAAAAGACACTCGTTGAAAATAATAAATACGTACTGAACCTGCAGGAATCCAATCTTGCCAAGTACAGTGAGTTTCAAATACCAGTTTCTAATAAAGAAATCTCATCGGATCATGAATTTTTAATGTCTATATATAATAACACTGGTCAAGGTGCACAATTAATATTGAAAATAAAAAGTTATGTTAAAAGTACATTACATTTACTCAGATCGATTGAATCGCTAGCTGATGACGCATGTGCAGCTCTATTTGCTGTTTACATAAAATATTATCGTCGAGTTAATATTGCTAAATCAGAACTAACTCGAACCCCTGATCAGAGACCCCATAGTAAACTTCTATTACTCTATGAATATGCAAGTCATGTTCAAACATTATTCAATACAACTAGAGCACAAGGCGATGATTGTAATGAATTACACGAACAAATTAAAAGGAAATCATTGCTACTATTATCAACTGTCAAAGAAAATAATATTATTCCTATTATTCAAGACAATGTGCTGCAACCAATAGAAAGTTCGGTTACATTAACGATGGAGCAAAATCATGACAATGAAAGTATTTTTCATGAAGAACTCTATAATTTTGTTTGTAGCAATGTTCATAAAAAAGAAACATTCCAGTCTGATGAACTCGTTCATTGTCTAGTTAAACAACATGAACGTGCTGTTACTCGACTAATCATATATCGATTTATTGATAGTTTTATCAAGAAAGTCTTTGAAATTGAAGATGACAAAGAACGAATCTGTGCGATTCTAACCGTATATTTGCCCTATTTAAGAAAATCAAATGTTAATTGGTCGTTTTTAGAAAATATTGCAGCGACAAATAATGAATTAAAAGACGAAATTAGAAATACTTATTATTCAATTATCCAAAATGTTCTATCATTTATTTTACGATCAAAAAGACTCGAAAGAAATATATTTAATTTATTAAATTTATCCTATACATCGGTTGATATGCATTTTCTACAACAGCATCAATTTGTTGAACTCTTATTCAAATCATATGTTCATTTTTCAGATGGAAAAGAAGTAGAAAATAGTACTACACTTCATCAAAAGTTAATTGCATACAATTGGTTTCGACTTTATGTATTAAACGTATGTAATAACATCCAAAACGAAGAATTGATTTTTCATAGATTAATTTTAAATGAATTAAAAGAATTGCGAAAATTGAAAGAAGCTTTACCTATTGATGCAAGAGATAGCGTTGTAGATTCTGTAGAATGTAGAAATCATTCATTGAATAATTCTTCTATTGCATGGTTTATTTATGCAACAACTAAACATAAAACATCAAGATTTGGAATTGAACTCTATACAAATCAACTATTGACACTATTACTTCGATGTGTTCATTTACATGAGTATGTTCGGTCTAAATGTGCAACAATGGATTTCATTGAGGAATTATTATACATCTATCGACACAGCCAAAACAGGGCAACAATAGTACTGGCATTGAAAATCTTACGTGACTTACTTCCGTTATTACTTGAAACAAATGATGGAATAACAAGTTCAACAATGAGTCAGCTTTTAATGAAATTCTTGTTTTCTATTGGTAATAGTGAAAATTCACAAGAAATTCTAGCTGAGATTGTCACTGAATCAATCTACATTTATCGGACTATAATGTCTTATCAATTATCACCATGGCAAGTCATGGCAACAAATGTTGTTATCGATAGTATAACAGTGACGTTGAACAATATTGATTGGACATCATTTGAAACTATTAACACACAACGATGGAATTATTTATTAGCGTCATTATATATATTAGGTGGATACATTCAACCGTTTAGTTTAGGTTCGACTGTGAGAATTTATACTAATGAAGAAAAAACTCGATATGACTTAGGTGTTATCATTGATATGAATACACAGAACGGATCATGTCATTTTATTCAATATCTAAGAGATAATAAAATGGCTGAGATTAAAATCGATAAACTTGAAGTCAACGTAGATGTAGATCCACCTAATTTACTCGATTTACCGAATAAGAGTGGTTGCTCCCAGGGAGTTATACATTCGATTCTTGATGCGTTGGGATCCATAATACAAATCGATCTATCTTCAAATAATAGTTTGCGTCTTTTACAACTTAAACGTTATGCTGTTGCAACTTTATGCAGAATCTTAAATCAACATCAAATCATTGATACTTTCATGCAAAAATCCTATGTTTCAGTATTAGCTCAATTATCAATGAAAGATTTGTGTGAACAAAATGTTATTCAGTCGATTAATATAAATCTATTCGATCGATTCCAATTAGAACAATATTGTTTTGATTTAGATCAATACAAACGTTCAAAACAAATTACAACTGATAATAATATTAATCATCTGCTAACCATAGATCCATACGTTATTTACAATAAAGCTGATATCAAATCGAATCAGTCAACATATGATAGATGGAAGCCATATGCATCCAAAATGGAAATCGAAATGTATAAGAAGGGTCGAATTAGTAATGATGAAAAACTATCAATTGTTCCATTCCCACGTCAGGTAGCTGATATGAGTGTTATTCAAGAATGTGGAAATAAACATCAATTTAAAGGTCGTATTTATATGAATGATAGCTATTCTCACGGAGCATTTCCTACATTCATTGTGGATAATTTACAACTGAGTGAAGGCAATTGGTATTATTGTGTTAAATTACCATACGCTGGTCTTATTCAAATTGGATGGGCAACAAGAGGATTCACACCGAGATCTAGTGAAGGATTAGGCGTTGGCGATGATGAATATTCATGGTCTTTCGATGGATCACGCGGCGTTCTTTTCAGTAAACGGAAATCTTATCTTTTGCCAGGTCATATTCGATGGCAACCAAATTATGTTTGTGGTTGTGGTATTGAAATTAATGGTCAAAATACTCGAATCAAATATTGGTTGAATGGCAAATGCTTAGGTACAGCATTTGAACATCAATCTAATATTGTATCGACGACAGTAAAATGTAATCTATTACCAAATGGATCGAATACAACATATTTTCCTAGTGTTAGTATGAGCGCACATTCACGTAAAGAAAGCTGTTGTGAATTTATATTTAGTCCAGAAGATATGACTGAATGTCCATTACCGGAAGGTTACAAACCATTACTAGGGCCAAAATTGAGTCCTAGTAAAGTCCCGATTGTTAGTTGCCCATACAGTGCTTATTTAGTTGGTAATGAAGCTCAAGATTCTATTTATACATCACGAAATAGACCTTCGACTAGGTTTCTACGTGATTTTATTAATGAAAATCATATTGAAACTGTATTTATTGTTGATAATCAACAACTAATATTGACAGAAGATAGTAATGGTTTTCCATTTTTAATGAGTAATCAAGCTTTACCTTTTACGATTAGTTTCGATTTTCAAATCTTAACTAAAACTAAACATGATGCAATTGATAAATCGGACATACTCCTGTTTACATTAGAAACAAACGAAATAATATCAGTAAGAATACCCTTCAATGAAGCAACTCGAACTATAATCTTAATCAATCCAAATGAACGACACATAAATATCTATATCAATAACGAGATTCAACCCATCAATATCAATTTTGACAATAGTACAATGGCGAGGTTCAATTTTCATTTTCTACCAAATGTTCATGCTGGAATGAAAAATTTTGCTATTTGGAAATATGCACTTTCAGAAGAGCATATTCAACGCTTATTTACTAGTGGTATATCCTATGTAGCTATTGAGTATAAACAAGTGAAAGAACATCGATTGGAAGCAAACACATTCACATTCAAAAAAAATCAACAATACTTTCCCGATGAATTTCTAATACCTTTCAAGCAACCATTTAACGAAACAACATGGAACCAAAAGCAAAAACAAGTCGATATGGATGAATCGATATTTTTTCATGAAATCGATCAAACAAATCACTCAGCTGTACAGTTGTACGGAAATCAAAGTTATCTTGTTTTAAAAAAATCAAGTCGTGTGTGGCATAACTATGCACTTATTCTTGATGTTTTGGTGCCCATTTTCCCAACAAATGGACAACCATTATCATTAGTTTTATTGAATGCAGAAGCAAATGTCTTTATAACGTCCGAAGGTAAACTTTGTCTTTCAGCAGCCAAAAGAAAATACGAAAGTACATCGATATTAATATTGAATCAATACGTACGTTTACTTATCAGTGTAGATAATAAACAAATCAAAATCTATGTTGACGGATCAATAGAAATTGACGTTGATGTCCAACATGATGTATTAGGTGTAAATTCAGATCATATTCATCTATTTCGAGAAGTCGACTCGGAAAAAAATACAACATCCAACAATATCCTTCGTATTAGATGCAAATCAATTACATTTCTTAATCGAACAATCGCTAACAAAGATCTGGACGAAGCACTGAAATCGTCGAACTATTCATTAGAAACATTGGTTGCGTTACCACTTTCATTATATACGTCAAGCCTTATAAATATGGGACACAATATCGAATGGATAAAATTTGTTGCGAATGAATATAGAACAAATCATATTCAATTGATTGATACAATTATACGTGAGCATAAGGAAGAATTTTTAAAGAAAGATGAGCAAAGACAGCAAAGGTGTATTTTGAATATAGTTTCAAGATTAGGTTCAGCAGTTGATAGAGACAAGTTAGAATACTTGTACAATACTTCGCAAATTGATTCTAAAGATACAATCGCATCGGTGACTAAACTCGTACTAACTCATTGGAATGATTTACAACGAGAACAAGCTTCAATTGTTGAAGAGGAAAATGAAAAGCAAGATTACTGTTTGCGTCGTGTATTTAAGGGATTCGATCTGAATTATAATTTTACTGAATGGATTCGAGATAAATCTATTGCTCCACAAGAAACCGATACAACTGATCAATTATTGGATTTGAGCAATTTAGAGCAAGATCAAACAGCATTCCCAACAATATTCAGTCAATCAACAAAAATTAAAAAGTCTCTTCAATATTCACATAAAAACTTGTCACATAAACAATATTTAGAATCACGTATTGCTTGCGAGCATGGATTGATATTCATCTATGCATCTGATACAATTTTGAATATGTTTAAAATCTGGACAAGCACGAATGCACATCGGTTTCCTTTAGAAAGATTTGGGGATTATCCATTTATTATTAAATTATTACAATCAATTGAATATCATTACATGCATACGAATGTGCGTGTAGAAAATAGTATGAATACAGCAAACATTTTATTGAAATCTATTCTTGAAGACGAAATTCTTTCACATAAGTTTCCTTTTATTGACCATTTAAAACAGAATATTATCACTGAATCGATTCGATACCTATTGAAAGTATCATCATCTGGACATGAACCCGATGATGAGCCCATTTTAAACTTTATTTTCAAAACTCTAAACATTTTCGTTGAATTAATTACCTATAGATCAACAATGAAACAAAACGAAATTGATACATTAATGCAATTGTTATTTCCTGAACCATTAATCAATATTATTTTTGATCTATTTCTATTTGTTCCAATACATCAAGCAAAAATTTTCATTACATATCTATTTGTTACGTAAGTATTATGTTATTAGAACACGCAATTTTATATTATTCAATGAGATTTATGCATTTTCTAGTTTGATGAAAACAAATAAACAATTTCATACAAGTGAACATATAAAATATTTTATGTCTCAACTATGCATTGAACTATTATCAAATCCAAAATCTATAAATAATCGAACGATAAAAACATTGCAAACCTATATTTTGGACTTTGTATATTTAGATTTGATTCGTGGTTCTCGTGAAGAATTAGAAATGAAATTATCGAAATTTCCAGAACAGTTTCAAGAGTTATCGATGATTATAGACATTATAAATGCAATAATGGATGAAACAAAATGTTCAAAGTTTCCTGCAATGATGTTTGTACAATCATCTAATGTGTTGAACAAAGCTTCTCAATTCACATTGGATGAAATAACAATTTCCAACTCTCATTTTGATAATATGTCCGATTTACAATTGATCAATCTAAGGAACGAAGATGAGTTAATTGAACATTCGTTTACTGAATTTATTGAAACTCTGCCGGTATCTTTCCAACGCTATCCATCTTTAGTAAATATACCAGTAGTTTACATACAAAATCGTGCTAAACTCTTCTATATATTGGAAATATTTGTGGAAAAAAATTTAGTACTTCTTGATTTGAATTTGGCTTCGGATAAAAGTGTTTTCACAGATAAGATTCGAGCCATTAAAAGTTATTTATCACGTAGAAGAAGATTTAAATGGTTTGAACAGTCGCTGTGTCAGACGAAACAGAATAGTTCTAGTAATCCCACTGTCATATTTGATGTTCTAAAAGCAAGTATTCCTGATAGTGATGGACAAAATAGTCTATTCTATCAAGGATATGAACAATTGCATGAAAATGCCCATCTATTATTTAGAACTTGTGATCAACGGCTTTGGCGAGCAAATTACATTGGCATGCATAGTACTGATCAAGGTGGGCCATATCGTGATTCAATTACAGGTATGTGTTCGGATATATGTAGTACACGATTACCATTGTTTATTTTGTGTCCAAATGGCCGAATGAATATTGGATTGAATCGTGATCAATGGATTCCAAATGTATTTCCATTGAATCAATCGATCCCGATTGAAATTGTAAAACAATACCGATTTATCGGACAATTGATGGGCATGGCAATAAGAAATAAACATTATCTAGATTTAAAATTTCCTGCTTTATTATGGAAACAATTATTAGGAGAAGACATAACAGTGAAAGATATCGAAGCCATTGATGTACAAAGTTTTGCAATTATAAAAAAAATAGAAAGTATTATTGCAGAAAACCAGCCATTGTTTGATAATATGAATGATCTACGATTTGAGATCATGAGTTCTGCTGGATACATGTACGAATTAATGCCCGATGGTAAAGCTATTCGCGTAACAGTTAATAATTTCACAGAATACTGTATACGTTATCATGAATACCATTTTAATGAATTTCGTCGACAAATTGAATATATTCGACAAGGTCTATGTAGTATCGTACCAAATAGTTTTATGACATTTCTGACAGTTAATGAACTCGAAGACGCTGTATGTGGAAAAGGTCATATTGATATCGAATTATTGAAACGAAATACTCAATACAGTAATTGCAAGAATGATACACCATTTATTCAACAATTCTGGAAAATTTTAAGTGAGATGTTCAATGAAGAACAGAAGAAGTTGTTCCTAAAATTTGTTTGGGGAAGGAATACATTGCCAAGTTGTGATGAAGAATTCACACAAAAATTTTCTATCATCGTACTGACAAATCGTGCATCTTTTGAGCTAGATAGAACTCTTCCAAGTATGGGTGCCATTGATAATTATTCAATATCTTTATATTCCTATTTTTTGTTTTTCTAGAATCACGTACATGTTCATTTGCTCTTCATTTACCAGTTTATTCATCGACTGAAATCATGCATGAACGTTTGAATTATGCCATCACTCATTGTTCAAATGTTGATGCTGATGGCTAAAGCTTAACAAAATTTTCAATTTATTTCATTTTGAATTAATAAACTTGACATGTCGCTAAACACATTTCTTTTTGTTTTCATTTATATCAAGATTGCCACAGGGTTTTCCCGATACCCAAAGATTGAGGACATGGTAACTTCCGATTTCTAGGAAATTCAAAATACATAACATACTATTATAAATTTCCAATACTCAGATGAAGGTTTGTATGTAAACTATATTTATTGTTTAGGTTTGCATTAACTCATAGCATTCGTTTTTTATATTTGGCGTGTGAATCGTTTAGTGGGATGGGTTGGGTTGGGTTTAGGCATGCACCAATTCCAATTCTTGCCTTGGAATTGGTGGGATTGGTAAGAATTGGAATTAGAATTGATCGGAATTGGAATTGGTTCTTTGTGGAAATCTGCCCTATTAAACGCTATGTTGACACATTATCGATCAGTTAATCATTACAGCTGTTCAGCTCATATATATTTTCCGATGAGCATTAATGAGCGACCATGAATGAAAAATATTTGTTTCAAGACTATTCTAGAAATAGAGCCTATTTGACTTCTTGGTCACTAGGTGTCCATATTTCACGTTTATTCGCACAGGTTGAGTTGGGTTGGGTTGGGTTGCAATAAACAATGATAAGTAGTTATATTGATACAAAATAAAAATTTTCTACATACATAAGAGCTATATACTTTCGCTGCGACTGATTGAATTAAAGTAGGAAATCTTATTTCGGTGGTAATGAGAACTTTCTCACTTGACTGTGCATGAATTGAACCCAAACATTTTACATGTAGTCAGTTTGAGTTCGGACTATGTATAAAGATGACAGTGTTATAGTTAGTTGGACATTCAACTATGATTTGCGTTGCTTTAATTGAAAAGTAAAAATGTCGAAAACAGAACTTGTAGGAATTGAATGCATCAAACGAAAAATATATCGACGAGAAAAGTTTTGAACAGTAAAAATATCGAAATGTTATAATTGAAAAATAAGTACGCTGTTGATATCATTATTGAAGACAATGGGTAAGTATCTATTAGTTTTGTATGAAATTGTTTATAATATGTTGATTGTTCATTCTAGTTTCCAACATTGAAACATTAGGATTATTATTTTCATCATTCTCAGTACATTTACAGGAACACAAAACGAGGGTGTGTGGGTGTGGGTGTGACTCGTCCTCTCATACCCACATCCACACACTCGTACACCGCCTCAAAATAAAAGATACATATAAGCATTCAGAAAAGAAAGTCTAATAACTAACTGTTGATTGAACTTCAATTTTAACCAATTAACAAGTTTATTATAAGCATCAGCAGTCTCTGTAAGCTCTTTTGAAATTTTTTCTTAAGCACCCATGCTGGTACTTAATGCATTCCATTTCTTATCAAGTGTTAGTGTCACGTCAAAAAAACGTTTGTCGCTTTCATGTTGACGTTCACATTCATCAAATTTTGTACTTCTAATCATATGAACAATCCATTCTTGTTTCGTT